TCAAAATCCGCCTGTAGGAGGACACGCCCGACCTAAGCCTAGTGTCCGCCTGTACCTGTGCCCAGGTGTCCAGAGGGCCCTCTCCTCCCTTATCCTTAACTCCTCCCCTCCTCCTCCTCCCTCCACGTTGGCGCATCTTCTCTGGCGTGCGAGCGGTTGTGCCTTGCGCCTGTCTACTGGCCGGAGTCCATGCGGACCAGCAATATCCACACTCACGGCGAGCGCGATCCATTGGTCGGCTAGCCCCAAGGACACCCGCGATTGTGTGCCACTTTGTGTATTCAGCGCTTCTCTGGCTGATTGCCGCACTGGATCATGATCACTCGCCCCGGGCAACCGCGGGGCGCAACCTGGGTTACATCACTACATCCCGGAAACCGCATGCGTCATCAAGGGCTAGCGGCGAGTGTCGTGGCGGCGCATGTTAGGTATTAATGAGTGTTGTGAAGTCGCGGTGTTGAATTTCCAAGAATGGTGTTGACGCCCCAGGAGGTGCGTTCTGGCATCATTTAAGAGTGTCAGTTCGCAAGGGCTACGTTGCTTCGCGGCGCTGAAGTTCCAGGAGTTGCATGTTGGCGCGCGTTGCTGAATTTCACTCGTGAACATCAGCTCTTACAAGGGAATGTGAGTACGGGAACTTTGAGGAATGGTTTATTGCAACATCGTTGATGCGTCTTGGGATTGCAGGCCGAGAGTGTTCAGAGAGACGCTGGGCCCTGCATGCATGTCAACTCACGGGGGCATTGAGAGTCCAGGCTTTTCCCATACCAGCTCTCGAAGCGCCTTTACTTTATCATTGTTTAGTTACTTCCTCCTGCACCTCCTCTTTCTCCTCCTCATATTGTCGTCCTTCTCACATCCTTCTGCTCCTGTCTCCTCTCTCGCTCCTCCTCTGTCTCTATATTCCGCCGCCTCCTTCCTCTGTTTCCCTTCTCACGCCATCCTCTTTCTCTTCAGTGTCATCTTCCTACATCCACTTATCCTCGTTCTGCCTTCCCGCACACGCCCTCCTCCTGTTTCCCTTCTCACATCCACCTCTTTTGTTTCTCTCGCTTACCACGTCCGTACCATTATCCTCTTGTCTCCGTTATCACATCCTCCTCCTCTTCCTCCTCCCCCTCCTCCTCCTCTTCCTCCCCCTTTCTCGCGGTCACCATCATGTTGTCCTTATCATGTATGTCCCCCCCTTTCAAGACAGTGGCTCGGCCCAGCCCCTGCTTCCTTGTGGCTCTTGATTGGCCCGTGCCGTTGTTCTGCCAGCACGGCTTCGACAGGGACGAAAATATGGATGCAGTTTGGCAAGGCAGCACATTTCGTGAGTCTATTCCTTCTTGGCGCACAAGTTCTGGAACCATGCTCGCAGGCGTCGCAACCGCACATCGTGTAGTACTGAGGCTGGTGCACGTCAGAGGGAGGCAATGTACCGACATGTGTGTGTGTGTTCCTCCGTGAGTGATGCTCTTCTTCTCCTCGGCTGCCAAATTCTGGCACCATCCGTTCAGAGTATGGCGAGCACACGCGTTGCAGGATTGAGGCTGCCGTGCGCTGCTCGGGTGGCAACGCGCAGGCCTCCATGTTACATGTCGGTCATAGCTTGGCCACCTTCTTCATCGTCCCGGCCACGGCCCGTCTCGGGATGCAGGCGGAGGAGGCACGGGGTCTCACAGCCCATCTAAAGCCTTCCTTTCTGAACCTGGGCCTATTTTCAGTGCTGCGGTGATTAGGGAATCCGTATGGTTACACATCTTCTTTCAGACAGTGCTGCAAGTCCTCTCCTCTGACTTCAAGCACTGTTGGGCCGTGGAGGTGATACTATCGCATGCTTCTGCTTCAGCTGTGGCTTCATCGCCACACTGTCAATTCAACAGCCCTGTTTCGGGCGATTGCCAGTACATCAGGCTACAAATTTGTGACTGTGTACGTTCAGTTGGTGCCGTGTGTGGATTATTGGTGGCGTCTATCCTCAGCAGCTGGCGTGCTAGCTCAATGCTTGTCCGCCTTCTGAGAGCCTGCGCGCATTCCCTTCTGGTGGTGGCATGGTTTCGCGACCGATCCCATTGATAGGAGGTCACATTCGAACCATACTCCACCACCCCACGATTTTCAGGGTCGGAGGTTGTGTAGGATTCGCATGTGGCTTCCCAACTGCCATTTACCTTGTTGATGTTCCTGTCTTCCTCACACCTTCCTCATGCTTCTCCTTTTGTCTCCCTTGTTGCATCCTTGTGTTGTATCTTCGGGGGACCTCGCCCGTCTTCCCAAATTGGTGGCTTTCCGTGTCCCCGAAGCGGGCTCGATGCGGACTCGACGGGGATCTGGCGCGGACTCGACGCGGATTCGACACGGATCCGACGAGTCCGACATGGATGCGACACGGGTTCGACGCGGATGCGGCCGCGACGGGACAGACATGGTCCCCGAGGATGCAACACTGATGACGATGCTTTCTCAATGCTGTGGCACAAACTGTATGCACCACGTGACAAAAGGCCTTGCTGGACTCTCGCCCCGCTCTGCGGAAAGGGCGATGCAGACTCGCGTGCTAAGCTCTTTGAGCCTACTCGATGCAGACTCGCGACTATCCTTCTTCAGTGTCCCTGCTCACCTCCTCCCATTGAGACCCCTTCCCGGTAAACCGCCCGCAGTCTGCAGGGTCTGGCCCGGGTCACTGCTCTTTTGTTTTGGTGTTGTTGTTGTTATTGGTGGTGTTGTTGTGTTGTGTTGTTGTTGGTGTTGTTGTTGTTGGGGTTGTTGTTGTTGTTGGTGGTGGTGTTGTTGTTGGTGTCGTTGTTGTTGTTGTTGTCGTTGTTGTGGGTGTTATGTTATGTGTGTTGGTGTTGTTATTGGTGGTGGTTATGGTGGTGGTGGTGTTGTTGTTGGTGGTGGTGTTGTTGTTGTTGGTGTTGTTGTTATGTGTGCTGTTGTTGTTGGTGGTGGTGGTGGTGTTGTTGTTAGTATTGGTGTTATTATTGTTGTTGTTGTTGTTGTTGTTGAACATTATTTATTCTAAAGAATAATTATTGTTGGGCCCCCTGGTGCGCGCCCCCCCTGCGCCGCCTAGGCCGCAGCTACATTTTCATCGTTTTCGTGAGGAAGCCTAAGAAAAGAGGGTGTGTACAGGATCCGGTTGTTTTGTTGTAACCCGCTTTCCCTTGCAAAAAACAATAGAAAATGACATTTCTTGTTTTAATATAATCAAATTTCAAGAATCCCTTGCAAAAAATAAGGTAAAGTGGACATTCGCGCGCGCAAGACGAAATCCTTCCAAAAACTTAGTGTTCGGAGCGATTTTAACATAAAAACATCAAAAAACCAATGGTTTTTCAACAAAAAAATGTCAAAATCTCATCCCGCGCGCTCTTGCGGATTCGTAGGAAACCCAACACTTTTTAAAACATTTCTGTCAAACGGGCTTTTGCGAGCAACTTTTTCGAACTTCTGCAACAACGGTTGCGCACCTGCCAGGGCCATCATCCCTGTCAAATAATACCATGCGGGACACATTCGTTTTTTCTTCGCGCGCGCACGCCGTCGTCGTCGGCAGCGGGGCCCTGAATAGTAGCCACGGTCGTCCGCATGCCACGAAGTGAAGTGTACGAACGTCATAGGGCGGGAAGCTGGGTGTGGGTGGTGGCGAAGAGTCGTTTGGAAATTTGGTAGAGCTTGAACCGGCCCCCCCACAAAGTGGGGGTATTGCCCGCCTCCTATGAAAACCTGGCACTGGTGAGAACAGAGTGTCCCCAGTCTTAAATGATTGTTGTTGTTGTTGTTGTTGTTGTTGTGGTTGTTGTTGT